TGGAAGCAGAACGAGCGGCGGCTTTTTGTCGCTGAAATATCAAATGCTAGATATCCATCCATCCATTTTCTGATCCGCTTATCCTGACAAGAGTCGCGGGGGGTGCTGGAGCCTATCCCAGCCGTCTTCGGGTAGTAGGCGGGGGACACCCTGAACCGGTTGCCAGCCAATCACAGGGCACACAGAGACGAATAACCAACCATCCGCGCTCACACTCGCACCTCCGGACAATTTAGAGTGCCTGCCATGCTTGTTTTTGGAATGTGGGAGGAAACCGGAGTACCCGGAGAAAACCCACACTGGCCAGCGCTGGAATTGAACCCGGTACCTCTGCACTGTGAGGTCGACGCGCTAACCACTGGACCACTGGGCCGCCCTAATACTATATATATTTTTATTTATTATTCGAATGTTGGCCAACTCCAACTCCGAACACCAAGGCGGTTTTTATATCGGGTGTGTGGACCGTCGTTCATTCTCTGACTGTTGCCAGATTGACTGGGACGCGTCCCCCGAGCAGAAGAAGCAGTGCCTGAACAAAGGCCGGGACAACAAGGTGCATCCCGCGTACTCCGACTCGCCTCGCTACTGGATGACTTCTCCAACGTTGACGTCGTGTGCTTTTGTTTGTGTGCGCGTGTGAGCAGACCGAGTGTTTCAATCACATCCGCTTCCTGCAACGCTACAACGAGACTCACCTGTACGCGTGCGGCACCAACGCCTTCAGGCCTCTCTGCGCGTTCGTCGTAAGTGCAGCCGCGACTACGCCGAGTTCCGTTAAAAAAAAGTACTGGGACGCTGACGGGCAACGTCTCTTGTCTTCTCCCCCGCGAGGATTCCGAACGCTTCGGCTTGCCGGCGAGCTTCGAGGACGGCAGAGACAGGTGTCCGTATGACCCCGCCAAGGGCTACACGGGCCTCCTTGCAGGTACGCGGCCTGGTTTTTAGATGCAAAATGCATCCAAATATGAACACCGAGTGGCCAATGTGTGGTCCTGCAATTTTCAAAACCGTTGTTGTGCCTCCTCTCGATCAGATGGCGAGATGTTCACGGCTTCCCAGTATGAGTTCCGCAGCTCTCCGGACGTGCGCCGCAACTTCCCCTTCCCAACGCTTAGGACGGAGGAAGCGCCAACCCGCTGGCTTCTGGGTGAGCGCGTTACCCCGTCCTATCCGGATTCTCCACCACCTCCGCACTCTGACTTCCCGTTCGGCTTCCAGAGGCGGATTTTGTGGGCTCGGCCCTGCTGCGGGAGAGCGTCAACAGCTCCGTCGGCGACGACGACAAGATCTACTTCTTCTTCACGGAGAGGAGCCAGGAGCAGATGGCGTACCCCAGCCGGACAAAGGTGTCCAGGGTGGCGCGGGTTTGCAAGGTCGGAACGCCCACCCTCGGCCAGCTTGCCACATTTCACGTGCAATCAGCGTCTTCGGTCCAGACGGCGAGCTCCACTTCCTGTTTATGTTGCTTCGTGCGGGAGTCACAGTCACATGAGGCCTAATATTGTCCCGTTTAGCACATAACATGCTCGCCAACAAAGTTATTGTACACTTACGCGACATCATTTTTATTATTGTTGTGGTTGTTATTATTGTTTTAGGTGCACTTAAGCAACACGCTTAAATCACAATTCATAACTACATTTGGTTTGTCGCTCTGCGGACACAATTCTAAGAAGGCTGTCTCTTCCTCGCCGTTACCGTGGTGACCCACTCAGAGGTCCCTTTAGGACATGTGACCTCGTTTTTGAGAAGCAACTCTCATCAGTGCAGCCCTTGGAGGAAAAAACGGTCAGACACGCAGCCGCTGCAGCTTCACTCATTCAGATAAACCAGCGACAATTTCAATACCAAGCGGGCGTAGAGCTGCGACTCTTGAATGTTAAATTCCTCGCGCTGGTTGCGGCCTCTCGCTCATATTAGCGATTGTTGCTAAGCCACACCGCAGAAATGGAGACGGGTCCAAGCCATGTGTCCTCTTTGTCTGCAGACGGACTGGGGTGGTCAGAGAACCCTGCAGAGGAAGTGGACCTCTTTCCTCAAGGCCCGGCTAGTGTGTTTTGTGCCCGAGTACGAGCTGTACCTCAACGTCCTGCGTGGTGTCTTCGTCATGCGCGGCAGCGACGCGCAGAGCAGCTTCTTGTACGGCGTCTTCGGCCTGGAATGGTGAGAGATTATGTTCAACTCAATGGTTGAAAAAAAAAAATCACTTCAAACAACCCTCAGGCAGCTTGTGCTTATTGATGTTAGTACGGATACTGCAATTTTATTTGTAGCTGCTACATGTGATCAGACAATAACGCACAATGAACCTACACTCATTGCTTTCTGTAGGTGTAAAAAGCAGGATTAAACAGTAATTCATATTCGGTGATCTCAAGCAAAAACTAGACTGAGCTAGTGGCAAATATAGTAGCGCAGGAGGCAGAGCAATCATATTTCGAAAATCTGGACCAAAAAAATCAGTAAAATGTCGAAATTTTCACCAATGTCCTGTTTCAAATGCGTCAGCTCTGTACTTTTCTGTTGCCTGTCAGGAAGAACATCAAAGCGTCGGCCATCTGCCGGTATGCCTTCTCAGACGTGCAGAAGGCCTTCGACGGGCCCTACATGGAGGTGCAGGACTCCAAGTGGAGAGAGTACACAGGCAAGGTCCCCGAGCCAAGACCCGGGTCTGTAAGTTAACACTCAAAACCGCCCGAATCCTCACACGAGCAAAGAGGAGACCTCAGCAGGCCTCGCCCCGTCTTCAGTGCATCACGGACGAGCACCGATCCCGGGGCATCAACTCGTCGCGAGACCTCCCGGACGGCGTGCTGACGTTTGCGCGGAGGCACCCGCTCATGGCCATCCAGGTGCGTCCGGCCGGGGCGCGGCCGCTCATGTTCAAGAGGAGTGTCAACTACGTCCGCATCGCCGCGCACCAACAGCCGGCGCTGGACGGAAACGTCTACACCGTCCTCTTCCTGGGAACGGGTGAGCGGTTGTTTGGGCGCAACTTGTTTGTAGTTCTGGACGGATTTGGGCTTCTAACACTTCCGAGTTCTGTTTTTGGTATCCAACCCCTTGACTGATGATCCTTACTCCAGAGCAGTTTGAAAATATGGTACTTTAGACGCGGTTATGTCCTATTCTAGATGACGGCTGGCTGCACAGAGCGGTGGACATTGGGGGCGAAATGCATATCATGGAGGAGCTGCAGCTGTTCGATCAAGGCCAGCCCATCGAGAGCATGGTCCTCGCTCCGGCCCTGGTGAGCCTCGCCACTTTGTTTTTTTTCCCCCACGTCGGAATGCCGACATGACGCCGTGAACGTATTCGCAGCATGCCCCGTTTTGTCTCGCAGCGGCACGTCTACGTGGGCTCCCACTCGGGGGTGGTGCAGATCCCCATGTCGGCTTGTCGGAGGTACGCTTCCTGTTATGATTGCGTCTTCGCCAGGGACCCCTTCTGTGGCTGGGATGGCCGGGAGTGCGTGGAGGTGTGGTCGCGAGCGCAGAGGTGAGGCCTTTAATGCTGTAGTTTCACTGAGCAAAATTTGGTAGGCATTTGTGTCATGAGTAGACCCACAAAAAGTCTCAAGAAGCCGTGCCAGAAAATACGTACAGGAAATCTGCCATTTTTTGGTTTGAAGCAGCCATTTTATGGTGATTTCCAAAAACAGAAGTTTTGGTGTTATCGTCTCATTCCAGGTCGAACCTCACCCAGGACATCCAGAGAGGCACCAGTGGCTGTAAGGAGAATTCGGGAAACGGTATGTGTTCATTCACAGTTTTTATATTGATTCTGGAAATTGATTCTTATGCCGTTTTATCTCCCGGGCTCTGCAGTGGTCCACCGGAGGCGCTCGGTGATGGCGGGAGATGACGTCCTCCTTCAGTGCGAACTGCGCTCCAACCTGGCGATGCCACGTTGGACGTTGGACGGCAGGGAGCTGCGGGGTTACGGCGTCGATTCGGGTTACCGCGTGGGCACGGACGGCCTCCTCATTATCGGGGCTCGGGGCAGGCAGAGTGGCTCGTACCGCTGCTTCGCAGTGGAGAACTCCGTCTCCGTCCTGGTTTACTTGTACACGGTAAGGGTGCACACGGATTCCTACTTTGCGGCGGAGGAGACGACGACGACGACGGCGGCGGCGATTTATCCGTCCACGCTACCCGGCACAACGGCGGCGATTGACCTGTCCACGGTTGGGCGGGCCTCCCCGTCGCTCGCTGCCCCGCTGCCCGCCGGGCCGCAGCTCCACGCCTACCGGCACATGGAGGCCGTGTACATCTGCCTGGTGGCCGTCCTGGGCGGGCTGTGCCTGGTGCTGTCCGTGGTCTTGCTTTACGTGAGCTTCTGCACCAGGCGGGTTTCTCGCAGCCGAAAGTTCTCCCAGCAGCAGGGTCTGCACATCCTGGGCTCCTCGGAGAGGAAAGGGAGCTCCCACGTGGAGCTTCAAACCATCTCCAACGGACGTCAAGGACGCCGCTCCATCTCGGTGCCCGCTTTCGGAGACTTCCTGCAGATCGTTCCCGGCGAGGGATCGCCGACGACCGGCACCCCGCCGGCCGCCCCTCCGCTCCCCTTGCCCCCACCGCTGCCCGACGCCGACTACGCCAACGGAATGTCCGCCACGCTGCCCAGCGTCCTGCGCAAGATGAACGGCAATAGCTACGTGCTCCTGCGGCAGGTGGACCACGATGGGGCTTCGCCGCTTTACCACTCCTTTACCGAGGAGCTCAACCGCATCCTGGAACAGAGGAAACACACGCAGCTGGATCTCCAGCCACACGAGAGCTCCATCTAAGAGGACTAAGGTACTAAAAAAATAAATAAATAAATAAATAATCCATGCAAACTCCGTCCAGGTAGGCTCCACCTAGACTTGAACCCGGGAACTTTGATAGCACACACGCTAACAACCTGGTTAGCGTGCTGCTTCAATCAATATTTTTTCTGGATATTGAAAAAAAGATTGCCAGAAAAGGTCATTTGAGTAGGTCAGGACCATTCTTTTCAGCAGCTTCCATCGTTCAAAGCATGTCCCCGTTGATGTGCACTGCTGACACGAACAACACGGTTACAGAGTGGAACTAGTTTACAAAAAACAGTTTTGCCAAATGTGGGATTTCTTCAACCCTTTCAGCGACTATTTAATTTGATTCAGCTAAGAAACTGAGCAGAATCATTTTCACATTGTCCCCCCCCCTCCCCCCACCCACGTATGACGAGACGCGAGCTTCGAGGAAGGCGATCACAGAATGAGCCGCGCTGAAATTGCCAAAGACGTGGCGGCCATCCTTTTGCAAAAAGCATTCATTTGTTGTTGAGAACTTTCCATCTGAGTCATGTGCTTCCCGCCTGCAAATGCTTTGCCGAGGTTTCCTGCCTCATCTGTACAGCTCGACATGACAAAAGACTGTGACAGAGCTGGGGCAAGTGGAGTTGACTTTACATATGAGGACCAGCAGAAAGACAGGAAGTTTGATGGCTCATTTTAGGATGGTCAATTCTTGAACATTTAAAATGTTAATTTATTAAGTTTCATGTTTAAAATAAATGTTTTGAGAAAAAAAGAGATTTGTATGAATTTCTGCAAAATACTGAGAGAAAAAGCTGTTTCATAGCTTGTTTGTCTATACACATCACCTGCAGCAAACCTGAAAAATATTTTTGAATTTTGTCAAATGAGACTGAAAATGTTGATGCCAATTCAGATTTTTCCAGGACAGGGCTCCTGTTTATTTAATGGCACTTTGGTGCCAAGTGATTTCATTTCCTGCAGGTACTGCGATGTCAGGTAAGCCGAATATTTTTTTGTTCACTTAGTGTGGGTTTTAAAAACAAGCTGGAGGGCCACAATCCAATTTTGCAGCAGGGAACGGACCCCACGAGGCCTCGTTGAGTGACAGAGTGCTGTGGCGTCGCCAAGCAACAGCATCTTTATTTTGAGCCATGCCGTATGTCCAGCAGTGGTGCTGCTCCAGCTGTGCAATGACCTCCCAATGGCATAAATTGAAAACTAAATCATCTTTATAGGCGCCTTGGTGGAATTTGAAACTATGGGAAAGACCCTTGAAGCTTTGTCATACAATCGGTACTGCAAGCACATTAATAAATATTTTTAAATGAATACTGTACCTCTCTGACACTGTCAATCTAAAGTCATCTTAATTATGTTATATTGGATCTGAGCTGCCATTGTGAGACATGTCAGTCACAAGTAGCCGTAAAAGATGCTTTTTTTCCCCAGCAAAATATATTGCATGATTCAAACAAATAAAGCTGTTGAAGGCCGGTAAAATATTTTCAGAGTGGCATCAGTGTAGGGGATGATGGCTCAGGCCTTCACTCTGACAAGCTGTTCAAACACTATGACACTGAACCGCCAGTGTTTGCACGACAAACATTTAGACCACAAATAAATATGCGACACAGAAAGGGCATCCAAGCGATCACAGGAAAATACTGTACACAAAAACTTTTGATTTAATATAACCAATTCCAAAATGTCACACTTTGTCATCATTCCGAGGGGTGAGGGGACGGTTGGTGAAGGGATGCCACAGGCCCTGGATGCTGGGGTTGTCTGTGTGGAAGGGCTTGCGAAGGCGGATCACGTCCAGGCCCGACTGATTGGTCAGCCTGGCTAGAACCTCAGACACCTGTGAGGATGTTTTGCTCGCCACAATCTCTTCCCTCACGTTGCCGTTTACTGTCGGGTGGGATAACATCAAAATTAAACGCCACTCAGCCCAAAAGAATAAATCAGTCCAGGCAAACAAACGTCTACGTAATCCATCACAATGCCATTCAAGTATATGTATTTCTACTGAAATACAGCGTGAGTAATTTAGCCAACTCCCGAAAAAATGTTAAATATTCATAAGCACGTCTACTCACAGTATTCGGCCACTATTTTAGGTTTGCTGCACGATTCCGGGGACACATACACGACGGTGCCAGGGTTCTGTTTGGCGTAATCCACCACTCCATCTTCAATAAAATCTCTGTTTAAAAACAATTATGGTGTTACAACCATCTAATGTTTTGCATAGGATGTTTTTCTTACCTGACACCTAGCGAGCTGTGGCCCTTTTTGGAGAAGATGATGGAGATCCGCTTAAGCTGGCACACATAACGTCCCACGCCGTTTTGGAGGACGCTTTTCAGGAAGCGACTCGGCGTCCCCCTGGATGTCATTTAATCTATTTTGTGGCTAAAAACCTCCAGAAAAAATGGAAAACGACTCGATGAGAGGAATTTAAAAAAAAAAAATCGAAGACAAGTAACATTGACAGAGGACGCCTGGAGCAGTGCGTCAATCTTTTAACTCCGGGTGAAACAAAAAAAAACTGTATTGTATCGTGTATTGTTTTGTTCCGTCAATTACATCACTCCGGGTAAAACGAGTCTTACGCAGTCACACATGTTTTCACGCTTAATGTATTTTTAAAGACTTTAGTGAGCATGTGCCACCAGTAAGATTTCATTTAAAAATAATACAATCGGAATTTTATTTTATAATGCCGACATAGTGCTATTTGGATACCTAAACTGTCGAATTTAAAATATCGTTTAATTCCGTTTGGTGCACGTTTTGTACGGACTTGTAACGGTCCTTGTATGGTACGTCAATTTTATATTTCCGGGTGAAACTGTCGGCAAAAAAGGCATATAGTTTTCGCGGCTTAAGCCGTTTTCACAAGTTTAGGGATCATGCAGCATCACTTTTATTTTTATGAAGGTGTTAGTTTGTTTTTATAATTTTTTAAAATGAAAATATAAATCCCTGTGATTGGCTGACATCTTAAATTCGGTGCCTTAATATTTTTGTGCCAATATCACACGGACATGTTTTGGAGAGGAACCGAAAAGCCCGGGTTCACGCATACGCATGGAGGACAAGATGAGGACGTATACAGGCGGCTGAAAGCGTAAGATGCTCAATTTTTGACACTAAAATGGAGTTTATTGTTAAATTGCACAATTCACACGTTTTCTGCTCCGAGACTGTTTGTTTTTTAATTATTCCTCCACACTTTTTGTAATTCCACATTTTTTATGCTGTTCAAATAATTCAAACTCAGGAGGCTTGTGTTCTCACAGCCCCAAATTCAGAGTTTTCCCAATAATCCACATTTTACACACACACGAAGGCTTTGAAGTGAATTAGACACAATGGCTTAGCAGTGAATTAGACATTTAGAATCAAACAAATAAAGTTCCTCTTCTTTTTTATCTGTCAAACCGTTCATTTCATTCGAGACATTTTGGAAACTATTTCCTAAATTTACCTAATTTACCCATTTTTTTAGTATTCCGCACTTTCCATATCAATATTTTCAAATGAATGGAGAGTTTTTACATATCTACCATACCAGGATTTCACTAGATGGCGCCAAAGTAATCTTAGTGTGTATCAATGACCAAAGCTAAAAAGAGCGTAAAGAGTTGAAATCAAATGAATTATGAAGGATACGTTCCAAAAATATTACATTTTCTTCCTGTGACGGTTAATGTCTCTCGCTGTGTTTTGCAGGATCAATCCACTTTGTCCGATGTGGAGGAGATTGCTTCTGAGGGGTCTCTCTCAGGTGGGGACCCCGAAGTTTCCCTCCCCAAGACATTTTTCATCCCTTCGTTTCCTGATTCATAGCAGAGGTCCTGGGTCTTTGTGGGCTTTTGCAATACGGGACACTGGCTCCTTCTTGTCCAGGGCGTACAAAAAAGATGCCAAATTCACAGTGGACTTCCCAGTGAGCACCGTCACAGTCGCAGATATCAAACAGTACCTACGGTCCAAAGACGTCCACTTCCACGATGGCTTCAGCTGCCTGCACGTGCCCAGCATCTTTGTGGCCGCCGCCTCCAGGGCTGAACGCTTCTCTCTGTTTGTGGACAAGACCACCGGGCAGTTCATGTGCATGGACACGCAGGTGGAGGGGAGCTGGGAGGACCTCCAGGACTGCTTGGAGGTGATGCAGGCTGAGGAGCGAGATTTCCTCAACCCGGAAGTGCTCTTGGGCTACCCCGAGAGTGCCGAGGAGCTGGAGCAGAGCGAGAGGGACGCCAGGGAGGTGAGCAGCATCTGGTCTGCTTCGGTGCCCTTCTCGGATCTGACTGAGGATGAGGTGACACTCATCAGAACCATGTTCCAGGTACGGATGGTCAACATTACTTTACAATAAAATCTCCCTTTTTCATCGTAAAATCACATTTATAGTCTCAATGGATTTTTTTTTCTCCCTTCAAGTATAGATTAAATAATATTATTTTTGAGTTATTTTTCTGTCAATAAAAACACTAGTCACCAGCAAATTTAAATCATAGATGACTTCATTTGTTCTTCAACATATTTTGATGCCTATTTTAATATTTCATTTTTTGCATCTCTGATTTAAAAAAAAATTCACCTGTGTAATCAGATTTGACGTGTTTCGCGCATTTATTTATTTTTTGGTAGATCACAAAGATCTCCAACGCAACAATGAAGAAGTTTGGCGTCAGGCTGTTCAAGCCCACCAAGAGTCTGGTTTTCCCCTGGCTGGGTGGTCCCAATTCCTCCCTAAAAGGGCTGAAGCTCCTTTCGGCGCAAAGCGCGGCCGACGGCGCCATCCGTTACAACGAGGCGACAGTCCCCAAGTGCACCTCCTACACCAACCTGTTTGGCCTCCCTTTGCTGAGCCGTATGGACGCCAATGTGGTCCTCACGGGACACGAGCTGGACACGCTGGCTGTGAGCCAGGCTACGGGATTAGCCAGCGTTGCCCTCCCGCGGGGCGTGGGCTGCCTGCCGCCCGCCCTGCTCCCTTACCTGGAGCAGTTCAAGCGCGTCACGCTGTGGCTGGGCGGCGACGTGCGCTCCTGGGAGGCCTCAAAGATCTTCTCACGCAAGCTGGGCCTGCGGCGCTGCTGGCTGGTACGGCCTGGTGAGTTCCGGCCCTGTCCCGGGGAGGCCCTGGCACAGGGAAAGAACCTAAGCCGCATCGTGGCGAGCGCGATCCCTGCCGCGCACAAGTCCATCGTGTCCTTCAAGCAGCTCCGCGACGACGTGTATGGGGAGATGGTGAACACCGAGCAAGTGGCTGGTGTCAAATGGGCACGTTTTCCTGAGCTCAACAGGATCCTAAAGGGACACCGCAAGGGAGAGCTCACGGTTTTTACAGGTGAACAATTGATCCATTGCGTGTGAGAGAAAATGACAGGAATGGCTGACAGAAGTTGTGTGAATTACCCCCTTTGCCATCCTCTCACATGCCCATTAAGATGCATTCTGTGTTGTGTCTCGACGTCGTGCAGGTCCCACGGGAAGCGGGAAGACCACCTTCATCAGCGAGCTGGCCCTGGACCTCTGCATGCAGGGCGTCAACACACTTTGGGGCAGCTTCGAGATCAACAACGTGCGTCTGGCCAAGATCATGCTGACGCAGTTCGCCGTGCAGCGGCTAGAGGATAACCTGGAGCAGTACGACTTCTGGGCGGACAAGTTTGAGGAGCTGCCGCTCTATTTCATGACCTTCCATGGCCAGCAGAACATTAAGGCGGTTCTGGACACCATGCAGCACGCTGTCTACCTCTACGACATCAACCACGTGGTCATCGACAACCTGCAGTTCATGATGGGACAGGAAAACCTCTCGGTTGACAAGTGCGTGAGCGTTTCCAGAAGCTTCAGGGGCTGAAGCAGCAAGCGGCTCATCAGCCGAGGTTATTTCTGCTCTTAAAACTTCCAGGTTTGCCGTCCAGGACCACATCATCAGTGCGTTCAGGAAATTCGCCACCAACTCCAGCTGCCACGTGACGCTCATCATTCACCCGAGGAAGGAAGACGACGACCGGGAACTGCAGACGGCCTCCATATTTGGCTCGGCAAAGGTGCTAGCTTGCTTTTTTTTTTTCTCCGTTTTTCCCATTGAGTGATAGACAGAGACAGCTGAAAGCAGGAACAAAATACAAAAATAGTAATCGGTGCACCTGCTAGGCTGTCGCTTTAGAGATGATAGACCTGGAGAAAAGAGAAAAATCACTTCTTCACAAGATAATCAAGTTTGTTGGTCTGTGAATGTGAATTTAAGAAATTGACAACTGTTGATTGGACAAAAAAGAAAAACAACACATGAATAAAACCCGACGCAAAACTCACTTCACATCATGTCACCGCGATCACTTTTGTGACCCGACAGGCCAGCCAAGAGGCGGACAACGTGCTCATCCTGCAGGAGAAGAAACTGGTGACGTGCCCAGGCCGCCGTTCGCTGCAAGTGACCAAGAACCGCTTTGACGGCGACGTGGGGGTCTTCCCGCTGGACTTTATCAAAGCCTCGCTCACGTTCTCGACGCCCGTCAAGGGCAAACACAAGTTGAGAAAGGTCGCCATCAAGCCCGAGGAAGACGAGGGCGACGAGGCTCCCTCCAAGAAGGACACCGTCAAACGAGGGAAGGCGGAAAAACAGCAAAGTAAAGCGCCAAAGTCATCACGTGCTGCTACCGCGAGTGAATGAATAGGTGACTACGTACTTCGTTACAGTATGCCAACCCCGATCATGTGACTACTACTGTGACAATTTATACACTGACACACCTGCACATATTTTTAATAAAATGTTTCATCTTGCGATTGTCTTGACGAGGTCTGAAAATTGGAATTTGAGTTGTCTGAAGTTCCCTGCACCAATCCTTGATTCGCAGATGCATGAAACCCACATGTCGGCCAAGAGCTGCAGGGGCTGGACTGATTTGAAAATGTGATCAAGTCATGCATGCCAAGCTTGACATCAGCCGACGCCCATTTCAAATCCTGGCTTCCTCCACAGGAACTGATAAGATCGCCGAGATGTAAACTGCATGCATTTGGAGTCTTTAAACGGCATCAGCTGGAATGAGAATGTATGTGAGGCAAGTGGATGGGGTAAGGTCAACTTGGTCCACATTCAGGGCAATGTGCTCTCGGGTTACCCAGCAGGGCCCATTTTGGGGGTGAAATGAGCTGCAGAGTTGTTGACTAATTCTAGTGCAGCTATTATGTACATCCGACACGCTTTGGAATGCTGCAAGCTCACTTGAGCGTCTGGAGCCGACTGGCCCGGGGGGTGGCGGGGGAGAGGGAGGGGGGCGACTGTAAGTGGCTTTATTAACTGCACAGGCATATTTGCCTGTCATTTAGCTGGAGCACCACACCCACCAAGCAAAGGGAGGTCGTGTTGGGCATGTAAAAATGTAGGTCACCTCAACACATGCAGGGTGTGCCAGCCATGTCTTATGATTTGCAAGAAACGCGGGTGTTTGACATGCAATGTAAGGTTAGGTTTAGAATAACACATTCTCTTTGTTTGTGTGCTGCACAAACAAGTCTGCGCCGAGGAGGTCCACCATGCGTGACCTCCTTTTGGCATAATTAGAATGCGGAGCAAAGAACAGGTTTGTTCCGGAAACAGCCTGGAAGTCCAAAGCTCTTCTCGGGCACAGGAATACATTTGCAGCAGGGCGTTCAAAATAAAAGCAGAAGCTCAAATCAAACTTGAAGGTGGACACTTTGATGTCGTACACATACTATAGCATTTTTCATTACCTTAACATCTCTTCAAACTTTGGCACTCAAAGCAAATAAAAACACTTTCACTTTATCATACAACAACCAAATTGGCAAACAGAATGATACATAAACCTAAAACGTTCTCTTTTGTCTGTCTGAAGTGTTGTATTGCAACCCATAAAAGTTTTCCTGCAACTTTATTGCAAACCTTCAGCTGACTGAATAGAGCGCATAACAATTGGTTTTATTGTTGGGATATGCGGATGTGTCTGTTTTAATTTTGAAAGGCACAACCGGATGCATGTTGCTCAGTTCCCTGCTAACTTAACTGCTGCTTGCCCCAGAACCCATCAACAAACTCTCAGTAACCGTCACTCTGTGCGTGGCGCCGTTCGCGTCGAATAATGGAGTGTCACCCACGTGAAAATGTGAAAAAGTCACAATGTGGGAGAACTTAAAGTTTTGTGTCTGTTTTTTTTTTAATCAACAGAAGCAGCAACAGCTGAACTTGGATTTTGGGGAGCGCGGCGGCTCCCCCGGACACTTTACCGTCGTCAATGGTAGGTGAGCTACTTTTTGTCTCTCAAAAATGTGTTAATATGTTTGTGTTTTGGCACTGTAAAAAGTACGAAACGCGTCGTGCGTAGCCGACGGTGAGCAAGTCGCGTTAACTCTCCCTTCGTCGTCGTCGTCAAGGTGTGTGCGTGGGTTCAATATTACCGTGTGAATGAGCTCATGTGACCCAAGGGACGTACACGCGTATCTATGTTTTAGCATTTAAACGTGATAGACCCCACACGAAAACGAATAAGCGCATTTCTTGGCTTATTGTGTGTCGGGTGCAGGAGATGACCAGCACACACTTAAAAGATATCCGTTGCAGTACCAAGATTGACTTGTGAGGGGCACTGTGGTGCCACCTGGCATACAGAATGCAGGAAATAGCAGGAGGAGAAGGCTTAAATTGGAGGTAAATTGCTAACTCCATTGCAAATTACTTGACAGACCAAACATAGGCCTGGGCAATAGTGCCTTGAAATAAAATCTGTATGTTTTCACAAAAATCACACAATTGTAATCTATTATTTTGTACCATCACACACACACACACACACACACACACACACACACACACACACACACACACTGAGGGATTTATTAAATATTGAACGTCTTGGGGAAAAATCACACTTAACCCACACCACAGGATAATTACTCAAGATGAGTTTCGAAAGACCTTTGCTATTTTTAATTGATTGTAGTCAAAAAGCTCAAATTGGCCCTGATTGTCGGTATATATGCAGCCCGCTTTAGTAAAGAATATGGCAGTGACACCGGCGAGAGAAAGGGGTTTGTATGCTCCTTCTTTGTTTGTGTACACGAGACAGGTTTAGTGAGTTTGATGGTAAGCAAAGTCAACTGTTTCCTGCTCAGACTTGACTTGAAACAAACCAAAAATTTCAGTTCATCCTTATCACCCTGAGTGACAAGACTGACTGGTTGACAATCATGAGTCGAAAATGAGTCCACGTTCACCTCTGGATTAAAAAAAAAAGTGAGAACCACTGTAACATAATGGTTAAATATCCTTCATAATTAAGCTATCCTATGACTGATTAAACATTGCCTGTTCTGTTCAGAAAAATTTTAGGATGCGACAGTTTCACCCTGGACCAGATAAATGTTCCATGAGAAAATTGTTGAAACGAGAACAATTTAAATCATCCTTCTGGCAAAAACCCTCCTGTGATCTTTCTCTTGTCTTCGTCCCAGTTTTTTTTCAGGTGCACCGCATGGCGGTCACCAATATGGAGATTTTTTTGCACCTCCCCACATTTCCCATATTCTGTCACCTCCCTTTTGACTTTTGGCCTACTTTCTTTGCAAGCGGACCAAAACTGCAGCCGGCGTCGCCACGCTCGATAGTTAATCAAGATGAAGCGGAAGAAACAAAAACGTCTCGAAGGCAAGCGTTGGAAAGAAATAAGAAGTCGAGTATTTTGATTTGAAGCGGAATGTATTTTGTAATTTTTTTTTTTTTTTTTTTCTGATGACGACCAAATTTAACTTTCGTGGACATGACTTTTTTTTTTCTTTTGCGGGAAAGCCCCTGAAGCCAGCCTTTCTTAGCAACGCGAAAATTGGTAGACAAAAAATTTCCAGGGGCTCGTCGACTAAACAGGTGATCACTTATTTACGAACATGGTGAGGTTGCCTCAATGTGTGTGGGCAGAGAGTGGCCGCAAATTTTGATGACTGGCCATAAAACACACAACACTAATGATGAACCAGGATAAAATGTAGTCTCCCAGTTGCATAAATGTGGACGTACAGTATGTGTCTTCTGTCTCAAATGTTGTCGGGGCATGAAAGTGGCCTGCAAGTGGGGCGACCTCTCCCCGAGGTTGCCTGTGCGGTATTTTTAAATACATTTCTCTTCATGCCACTTTTTTTTTTTTTCTGGCCTGATTATTCTCCAGTTGAGAGACCACCAACTGGTCAACACACATAATCGGCAGCATTGCGGCGGCGTGAGGTGAGGCGAGGATGTTGTGGGTGCAGATGGGATGCTTTGGCAGTGGCGGGAGGTTCGCTGCACCCGGCTGGCTGCGTCACCGTGTTACATAAGGGCTTATGCCGCCTGAGGGTGTTGGTGGTGGGGGTGTTTGTGTGGCCGTTTGGCCTACCGGCATGCTGGAGGGTGTGTGTGTGCGTGTGCGTGTGTGTGTGTGTGCAGTCCATTCATGTGGGTTTTTATCTCCGTCAAGCATGGACAAGTCGTTTTCTGTTATTGTGTACGGTAATTATATTTTATGGTGGGTGCTTGTTCAGTAGATGTTCATGTTAAATGTTGCTTCCAGGTATTTTTTTTTTGGTTTGTTTGTTTTATTTTGCATGCAAAATAAATAAAGACGCAAAACCGTTAAATATATCTGTGTAAGCCCAATAACCTCAAGAGGAGATTGTTTGGAGATTAAATCGTTATGTAGCCCCTCCCCGCTGGCATCTGTCATTAATCACCAGCAGATTTGAGCAGATTTAAGCGGCCGATGAACGCGCTCTGACGGCGCACGGCATTGATAGGGAGGGAGACGTTTTGAGTGGAAGTATACATGATACATACAGGAGAAAGAAGAACCATCTGGACGGTTTGATATAACGTTAAGCGTAACCTGACACCGCCGCACTTCCAGGTGCCGGCCTCGTCCGTTGCATCGCGTCATGTTCGCAAACAGCCTAGAGCAAAGTGTTAATAGGAAGTTCGTGTGAACCTGTTGGCGGCCTCGCCTCGGCTTCCCGTGGTGACATGTATATGTCAATGCCTCGCAGCTTTCAGGGATGCAGTCTGTGGTGCAGGCCTGAGGAGTCGGGATACAAAGCCGAATGCTAAACCAACCAGAGGAACCGGATTGAAGACGTTTGACATAAAACAGGATGTACGCCTTTTTTAAGAATTCAGACCCCAAAGCTGGGTTAATTTGGCGACGTGAAATTGGGTAGACGCGTCTGACAGACCCACAAAAAAATCTCAGCCAGCCATGCGTGCAAGCATCCAGGAAGTCTGCCATTTTAGGGTGCATTTGGTACTTTCCGAGGACCCTTCAAGCCTGAACTATGCATGCCAGACAAATAGGCGACGCTTAATTGTGTTAAATGTTTGTTTTCAATAACATGTGGGCCTAGCGCGCCTGCAAATATAGATGAGACGCCCTAAAACCCCAAACTTTAATAACTCGGCTCCATAAGGTCACATCTTGATCAAACATTGAGTGTAGGAGTGTTTCGCGAAGGCCGTGTTTACCTTTGGTTTGCACATAAACACTCGGCAATGTTGGAGCGTGAAGGTGTCTTTATATTCCCGCTCACTATTGGTTGACTCGGAAAATCCCCTCGGTCGTGTGAGCTCGGCCACCGTGACTCAGTTTTTCCCTCGTTTCCACTTGAATGTTTGAGTACGACTGCCCGGCTTCTACTGACACAAGAACATGTGTTTTCTTCTCTCTCTCTCTCTCCTCTCGCCGGTTGACAGAAGGAAGACCGACTCGCGGCGTTGGAAGGATGCTTTTATGAGGCCTTCAAATTCAGAGCGTCGTTGACAGGTGAGTGGGGGAGGATTCATTTCTGTGAATGATACGGTTCTGTTCTCCGGAAAGCAAATTGAAGCATTTATTTGATCTCCTATCAGGTCGCTGAATTGTTTTACTGGTGAGGACTCGCAGTTTTTGAAAGAAAGGCAGAAGTCAGTCAAGTAGCACAGCAGTTCATGGGTGACACAGAAGTGGCGCCGAGGTGTTTGCAGAGTACGAACAGCTTCGTTTTTAAAGGCGCGAGCAGATTGCTTGGGGCCGCGGTGGATTGTTTTGAAAGTAGTCGCTCCAAAGGACGCTTTTAGCAGCAGCGTCCAGTGGGAGCGTCAACCCCCCCCTTCGCCCTCCAAGTATGCTGGCCTAGCTTTCTGCTCCCACGTCCGCGCCGCTTGTTATGAGAATCTATATGAGGGCCTCTCATCTGAGCCATCAAGCACCTGCGCTATAGACGTGCACAAAATAGGCTGCCAGTCAGTGCACACTGCTTGGGAGGCTCTTTTTTTTTTTTTTTTTTTTTTTTTTTCTGTGAAGTGCCTCCCCGGGCTCAACCGATGTGTGGAGACGGTCTCCTTTGTTGCTGCCAGCGTGCTCCAAGCCGTCTCGCGGCCTCCAAAGAAAAGAGACTCTTTTGCATGTGCTGCCCCACGAGCCCGAAAGCCTCTCAAGGCCCGTTTGTGCTGCTTGAATGGGCCTCATCAATGACCGAGACTGTTTGCCTGTGTGTGGGCCACCGAAGGGGGGGCCGGGGGGGATAGGGGGGCGCATCGGTTCCAGTCTACTGTAGGTCATGCTGGTTTGCACTTCATATGGTGTGCACTTGTGGAGCAGCATTTAGCCACGACGGTAGTCTGGTCGGTAGACTTGATGTTTCATATGCCCCAAAGTTTGCAGAAACTTCATTGTGGCAATATTTGGCAAAGAATCATATTTGGTGACTGAGCTGTATAACCCAGGATATCACGAAGAATCCTGTTTGTTCACTCAAAAATGCCTTTGTATGCTCAGGAGCCGTATTTAATAACTCAAATAGAACATTATAAGGCTAACAACCATTTTTGATCACTTCAACTTGGCATTTTAACTTGGCAGTGAGCCATATTTGGTAACTGTAACAGTGCTTTGTTTTGTTTAGTTTGGTTTTTTTGCCCAAGGATCCATATTTGCTAACTATTCCATAGCATGTCACTTTGGTTGTTATTTTTGGATGCCAGATAACGGTTGCAAGCATGTCATTTACTTTCAGAAACCCCAAGGCCACCTTGCGTCCATCATGGCACTGGTTCAGGCTCCGCCCATCCCCATGGAACCTCACAACCTGGGCCATGGCGCACGCTCCCGTAGACGACACCGCTCGGGCCCCTCCCCGCCAATCAACGTGCCGGCGACCGCCGCTCTGGACCTCACGGCACGCGGCTCCCGGGACCGCCGGGCTCGACGGGGAACCTCCTTACCTGGCTCGGAGTCTCCTCAGGAGCGTTTCCTGTACAACCGCAGTCCTCCGGCGCTGAGGATGTCCGGCCGAAGGCAGGAGAGGTGCGAGTATGTGGATGACTGGAACGACCAATGCGCGGCACCCGCCAGTCCGACGAGATACCAAGACGAGATGAAAGAGGGCTTGAATGGGAATGTTGGAGGACCGCCGCCCAAACTGATACCCGTGTCAGGAAAACTGGAAAAGGCGAGTCTCACTGGCAGACATTTGTCAAATTCCAACATCTGACAATTGTTTTAATTGAGAAAGATGTGTTGTTTTACATGTAGAACATGGAGAAAACAGTGCTGCGGCCCACCGCTTTCAAACCCGTGATCCCCAAGAGCCGTGGCGCCATGCAGTACCTCTCCCCCCGTCACGGTGGCAACATACCGGAAAGCCAAAATACGCCGCTGCGCACCGCCCACCGCGACCTATCGCCCTCCGCCTCAGAGAGACGCAGCTCGTACAGCGCAGGGCGGAACGGCGGCGGCGGGAGCAGCGGCCACTCCTGCTCGGTGTCCGACTCGGGACGCAACTCGCTCTCCAGTCTGGCGGGGGGAGACGGGCCGGCGGTAGCAGGGGGTCACCCAGAGGCGATCAAAGGCACCTCCTCCGCGGGCATCCACGGACACTCCAACTCTGACAGCGGCCGCTCATCTTCCAGCAAGAGCACCGGCTCCGGGTCCGTCAGCGGCCGGGGTCAGCCGCTGTCGGACTGCGGGTCCGGCGGGCGCTCGCCGGGGCTGGTGGACGGTTATGAGGGCATGGTCAGGGACCTGGAAGACAAGCTGAGAGAGAGAGAGGCGGAGCTTCAGCTACTCCGAGACAATCTGGACGACAACGAGGCCGCCATCTGTCAGGTAACGGAAAACAGACTCATGCCGTCTTGTCATATCCAGTACAAGAGCTGCACCGTGACTTAAATCGCTTAGCGATGAGTGCGCAAAAGTCTAGTCTCAGATATACCAAATGAACTGCCTCGCTTGTGTTTGAGGTCTACGAGGAGAAGCAGAAGCGTTTTGAGCTGGAGCTGGAGGAGCTGCGGCAGAGCTGCGCCACCAGGATGCAGGTGGCCTCCCAGAAGGCACAGCGAGCCCAGCAGGTGCTTCAGATGCAGGTGAGAACCCTTTCTGAGAGACACCGACCAGAAAACGCTTTCGGCGTCTCAGCTTCTCCTCCTCGCAGGTTCATCAGCTCCAGCACGAGAAGAAGAAGCTGCAGGAGGACTTTGCGCAGCTCCTCAAGGAGCGGGAGCAGCTGGAGGAGCGCTGCACGTCCTACGAACACGATAAAATCCAGATGGGCCCGAGACTGGAGGAGACCAAGTGGGAGGTGAGCACGGGAGAAAAAACTATTGTCAATGTCACATTGTACTCACCCTTGTTAGCTTAACTGAAAAAATGAATGTGTTCCATTTTGCAATATGGCTGTTACTTAAAGAGAAAAAGTGAAGCTCCGTGAATACTTTCCCAGAGGCCAGTAACAATTTTAGCCGTCTTGTCTTCCGCTGTGCTTTTTCTGTCAGGTGTGCCAGAAGTCTGGCGAGATCTCTCTGTTGAAACAGCAGCTGAAAGAGGCGCAGGTGGAGCTGGCCCAGCGGGCGAGCGAGGGCGCGTCACTGCGGGGGCAGCTGCGCGACGCCCGCGGCGAGCTGAGCAACACCCAGGCCCTCCTGCAGGAGGCCGGCGCCACCGCTCGCGCCCGCGCCGCTGAGCTGGAGGTGTGCGAGAATGAGCTGCAGCGGCGCAAGAGCGAGGCCGAGCTGCTGCGGGACAAGGCGGCGCGGCTGGAGAGCGAGTTGGCGCACCTTCGGGAGCCAGACGGAGAGCGGGACGCGCTCCGGTGCCTGGCCGAGCGCATGCGGGGGGAGTTGGCTCTGGAGAGGCAGCGGGCCGAGAGGCAGGCAGGCGGTTTCGAGGAGGAGCGGCGGACGTGGCAGGAAGAGAAGGACAAAGTGCTGCGCTATCAGCAGCAGCTCCAGCAGAACTATGTGAGCATGTACCGACGCAATCGCCAGCTGGAGCACCTCTTGAGGGACCTCAGTCACGAGCTGGAGAGCCGAGACCATGATGACGACGACGGCAGCGGCAACGAAGTCGTATTTGATGAGGTCGCCGCCACCGAAATTTGATTTTTTTTTTTTTTTTTTTTTTTTTTTTTTTTTTTTTAACCTCACAGGGGGGGGC